CGTAAGTCTGCATGGGATTCCTCTCTATGCTACAGAAGCAAACCTTCAAGACATGCCTAAAGGTGAATGAAATGTTTCCTAACTACAACTGAATATAAAATTTCACACATGAAAATGTTGTAGTTTGGCACTTAGTTTTTTGCAACATTTTATCATTCTTTCTCCAAAAGAAAAACACACCACATTGTTTCAAAGGTTGAACTTTTAACACTTATTAACTTAAAAGATGTTCCTCCAGCTCAAAAGCAAATCTTATGGCTATTTTTGAAAACCAAATACATAGACATAAACGAACTTAGTTGCCTAAAGAACATCCATCATATACCCAAGGGACAAATTATATCAATGACCCTCAACAACATGGATTGACACAGTGGCTGCAATGATGGGCTCAAGCACAACAGACTGTGAGAATGGTCTATTTTGTATCAGACACCCCTTTTAAGAATCTGAAAAATGCTATAGAATTCTCCCCATAAAATATGGACACACATGTAAAATGTACACAAAATTTTACCCAATTCACTGCACTTCAAATTCAATTCTGGATTTTAAAATCTATCTAATACCTAATCCACAAGAAAATTATGACTGGTTGCTTCTGGTGATGTGAGCAGATAACTAGGGGAATAGGACTGGGAGGGAGATTTTTCACTATACATCCTTTTGTACCTTTTGAAATCTGAATGATATAACTATGATACCTATTAATAATGACTTAGTTTGGGGAAAAAAAAAAAAAAAGGCATTACACTAAACCATGTAGCTTGAATCATTTGGCTGAAAAGGTCTATGACTGCCAAACTATGTTCTTGTTTCATAATTTTCAGAGATTTCCATTTTCAACTTTTTGCGAGGAAAATATAAAAAGTCAAATAATAATTCTACATTATTCATATTCTAACTTCTAAAAATCTCAAGTAACAATAGTGTTTATTGAATATGATATCGCCACATCTATTAATTACTATTATTATTACCTTATTTTATAGACAAAGAAGGAGTTAATTCACTTGCCCAAAATAATACAACTATTAAGGACAACTAGAAATTTTGCAGGCAACAAAGCTCACATACATTCCCCCATGGGAAGCTATATCACAAGATAACAAGGAGGACGGTAAACACTAAATTAGAGAAACATTATACATTTAAAGATTTTTATTGTAAATAAACTTTAGAGCATTAGCTGACTATAAAAATTTGGAACCACACTGCACATTCCTGCTTTACATGTTACCCAAAGTAGATGGAGATTAACCAGAACAATTATCCACTCAATAAATACAGAAAACGTACAAACATTAAAGTTTCAAATTAGACTTCTTAAAACCTTACAAACTGTCACCTTGAAAAGAAATAAGGAGATGTAAGCTGCATATTAAGTCTACGGTTATTTTTTTTTTTTTTAATTGCTTTCATTTGAGAAAAAGTGTTGTTGAAAGACAATTTTAGCAGTCTGAAGATCCCAATACCAAGAGGCAGAGAGTTTCTTCCTGCTGATTGGCACCTCCAGTCACCAGAGCTTTGGGAATATTTAATACTGACTGCCCAAACTACCTGCAAAACACCTCAGAAGTGTAGAATAAATTGTGAGGCTAGAAGTCATGATGCCACCTTCATTATAATTCCATCTCCAAAAAATTGGTCTTTTTCAAAAACACTTTACTCAAATCTAAACTTAGAGAATAATTTTACTCAAATCTAAATCTAAAGAATTTTTTTGAAGTCAAAGAGAGAAGAAAATATAAAGCATGGGAAGATGGGGTGGAGAGGTAAACTATCTAACCAAATACTATTTACAATGATTAAAAATACATGTCTAAGCATATGTATGTGTGTGTGTGTGTGTGTGCGTCTAAGTGCTTAGTTTGATTGTCATTATTGAGTGACTTAGCTAGTTAAGTGTCAAAGCTTACTTCGTACCCTGCTATGTAGGCACAAGTAAGGCATCACTTCTTGTTGTTATGTGCCGTCGAATCGGACCAGACTCATAGCGACCCCTCCTTGGGTTTCCGAGGCAGTATCACTACGGAAGTAGATTGCCCCATCTTCCTTCCGAGGAGTGGCTGGTGGGTTTGAATCACCAGCCTTCTGGTTAGCAGTCAAGTGCCTTAGCCACTATGCTACCAGAGCAAGTCCTTAAAGCTTTAAACCTCTGCTGGGTTTTCCTTATTGGCAAAATGAGTAAGAGTCCTTAAGGCTTAAAAAGTTTAGGACTCTTAAAACATTTTGGAAATAAATAAAGGAGGAGAGAATTCAAATGTCTATATTTGTTAAAGTAGCTCCAGTGGCACAGTAGTTAAAGGATTAGGCTGCCAACTACAAAGTTGGTGGCTGGAACCCACCAGCTGCTCCACAGGAGAAAGATGAGGCAACTTGCTTCCACAAAGATTTATAGCCTTGGAAACCCTATGGGGCAGTTCTGCTCTGTTTTACATTTTCATTCCAAATAGCTGAGAAAAAGGCAGGTCACTACACATTTCCACAGAATTGCATGCTAATGCAGCTTTCTATAGGAAATAACATCATTAATACAAATATCTAAACCTCACCCCACCTATTAGAAAAGAAAGCAAAATAGATTAAATTTTCTCTTCACTCTGTGTTACAGTTCTGCAAGTAAAGAGACTTTTAAAATAATAAGAATTAATGGAATATTATTTACAAGTCTTATTAATCAAGTATTATGACACATACAATAATCACTCAGATAGCAAATACGTGAGTGATCGTTACTGAATACCTAATTTCTGTGCTTTCAAAAACATGATTACTATGTTTATACAATTTCTATTTTCAAACTTCCCAGTAAAAAGACTTTGAGAGGTTATCTTTATCTCCTTCTTTAAGCTACTCACAAATTTAATTGCAATTTATAATGTACCCCAATAAAATTAACTCACATCTTCTAATTTAGTCAAAGCAATACTACAGAAAAATTATATCACTTTGGCACATATATATAATTTATTCTGGTTTCTTCTGAGGCAATGGGGGGAAAAAATTCTTAGAAAATAAATTCTTCCTGTATTTTCTTTAAATTCCAAAAGTAATTTCTTCACATTGGTGAGAAGGCAACATACAAATAAAATTTAATCCACTGTAAGAAAAACAAATGTCATTTAATAAACTCTTTGTATTCACTACAAAAATCTAGAGCAAATACACATTTCTAAAGTCTATATCTGATTATACTTCTTTATACAGACAGACATAAAAATCTAAATTATGGAATGATTTTCAGAATATTTACCCAGAATGCCCTTACTACCCAAAAATCACTTTCAGTTAGTCTGAAACTAGGGGTGTGGGTATATCTAGTATTATATGGTCCTGTTGCTCTCTAATTCTCCCAGGCTGGCAAAATATGCAAGTTCACAAAAAGCATATTCTTAGAAAGCAGAACTCTTGGAAAATTTTCAATTCAACTTGACTTCAGTTTAAAAACTGAAAAAAGTGACAATATTAAGGCATGTACCCAAATTCTGCTTGTACATTCCTGTTTCATGACCCACAAAACCAATACCATACTCTGGAAATGAGTGGTCATTTAAGTCATAATTTCAATGTTTACTCTGAGCCCCAAGAAATTAATGTAGCAGTAAGGTTTAAAATTTCACCTAATGCCAAAAATGCTTTATATTCTTCCTCAGAATAAAGGTTTTTTTGCCAGATATAAGTGCTAATAATTATTACATGTCTACTTCAGATTAAAAAAATTACTGAAGAAGTCAATATGCCTTCCAACTTTGTATGTAAAGCACGGTTAATTTTATCCATAAGCAGTTTTCCTTCCTTTCTCTTCCAAAGCCTCATAAAGACTATTTTCATTTTTACTAGAAAAATCTTTAGCCAAAATTTTTTCTCCAAAACTCTTAACAGCTCATCTTTGCTAATTGGTACATGTATACTCTTTACAATAATCAATATTGATTTAGTTTCCACCGATTTCAGGTATAAACATTAAAAGGCTATTTATGAATCTCCCTTCCTTTACAAAAAAAAAAAAAAGTTCACATGGGAAAAATAGAAAATATTCTAGACTGAATTTTAAGGACTTTTTCCTATCAAATTTCAGTTTTTCTTTTAATACCTTGATTTCACAAAACGGTTACAAAAATAAATGTGCATTAACAAACTAGCAAACCGATTATGTCTGATTTCCTCCCAGCCACTAAAATATATTATGTTGCTTGTATCCCCATCCTACCCACTCTTTAAGAATTCAGTAAAAATCCACCTTATAAGGTGGATAGTTTTACACTTTGCACAATATAAAAGCTGTGTTCTGATACATTTCAAACAATGCCTGTTTATAAACATGATGCAAACAGAAGAAAAACAAAAGGGACAAAAAGTATGCACACACCCAAACTAAAGTTAAAGGATCTACTTTAAAAAAAAAACAGTTCTCAAAAGATCCCTTTCCACTTATCCTTGATTCATTCCAAAGGAAAAAGAGGTGTTAAACAAGTGTGATCATCATTTATCTTGTCTATATGTACTATCAGAAAACAAGAATGCATGCAATCAATAACACACCAAACATTTTTTCTCAATTTTTAACAATGAATTCTTTCATACACCATTTTCTATATGTAAATTATGGTATCATCTCCTCTACTAAATCTATCTCCTGTGAACAATCTGAAGTTGTCATTGCATACAATATATCCACTTAAATGCCAGCAGAAGAAATGAAAAACATAGACCCAGGTATCTTAAAGTTTTTCTGGCATTCAGTTTTCATCCATGTGAGAGATTCTCCTGATAATGTTTCTTTTCACTTGAAAATAACTATTTAGATTGAGTCCTTTTTTAAAAAAGAGAATGGGTATCTGGTCACATGACCAGTTACGCGTCAATGTGTCTGAAGCATCTCATACTCTCATTTACAACACAAAATTTTAATAGATAATGAAACTCTACAAAAAAGGAAATTATACATAAGAGATTTCAATTCATAAAGGAATTCATCACCTGGTCATAATCCTTACCTTTTAGCAGTGGCAGAGGTGTTAACTCAATAGGTTTGCCTTGAGACCTAAACTGTGAAGAACTTTGCGACCTCTTCTGTCTGGCTTTTCTGACGGACTTCCGAGAAAATCCGTCTACTTTATCCACTGATGGAGGAGTAGTTGGTGCTGAGGACATATCCCTACTGAAGAGAAAGAGGTATCATAAATGTATTCCCAAGATGTGTACATATGATTTATATAAATTCTAAAATTCCCATATATAATATTCATGAAAATGCAAATACTACATAAAGTAAATAAGGAAAGTCCTATGTCAATGGGAAAACATGAAAATCTGATGAAAAATGGCAGATCCTAAATGTCAGGTAAGCCATATCATACCTCTAATGCATTGTGCTACTCCTGTTATTGCAAGCATTAAAGACGTTCGTTCAGACTTGAATAACTCCTCTAAGCCTTTTGCCCATTTTTTCTAACTGCAAAGATATTCTTATCTCGCAATTCCTGAAGTAATTTTGCAGCTATTCCGAAGCTGGAAAACTTCCATCGATACATTTTCCTAAGATAATATTATGAATGGGCTCTGGAACTGAAAATCTTACTGCACTTCAAGAATCTACACCAATGCATCCTCACAGCAAAGGGTAATTTATAATTACTGAAACTATCTAGGCACGACTTTTAATGCAATGCTGATAGCTATGATAAACTGCACCACACTGCAAAATGAGGACAGGCAAGATTACTTTCAACAGAACATGTAAAAGGCCTAATTAAAACCATTTCAAAGAAGCCTTCTTTTTGAATGAAGCCATCTTAAGTTATTAAAGCTTAATAAATAAAACTATGATGAAATCATGTGCCTAAGTTGAACTGAAAACATAAATTCACAGCCTACTGAGACAATCAAGTTGAGTTCCCTTGAGGTTTAGACTGAACAGTACTTTTAGATTTTTAACCCTCTATAATTATTAAAAGGAAGGCTGTTTCCTAACAGTAACAAGCATTGAGTTTAATTTCATTTACCAATTTAAACAGATGCCATCGTTTCCATGGTACTGAAGCTCCATGCAAGATTAATGGCAGACTCAGACAGAAATAATTTATATGGGGAAATGCTGAAATGCAATTCCTCACCTGTCATCCCAATACATAAGGTAAGTTTTTTTTTTTGTTTTGTTTTGTTTTTTAACTTCTAAATAAAAGAGGGAGTTCTTCCTGAATGTGTAAGAGTAAAAAATTATTTGAATTACCTAGATTCCAGCAAAACAAAAATAACAAAACATTATAAAAAAAATTAAAAAAAAAGAACACATGTGTTGAGGTTTTGAATTTTTAAGTCTTGTTTCGTTCTAGTCAAAAAAAAAAAAGGCAAAACCTACCTAAATAGCCTTACATATAATGTCACATATGCAAAAAAGAATTGCAAACTATGAACAGCTATACAAAATGTAAGATCACTTTAAAATTTTCTAATGACTGCCTCAGCGAGAAGCTGTACATCACATTTCTATGTTGTAAATTTAGGGGACGCTTCTCCAATCTGGTACGTGAATAATTCAGATTTCATTCTAACCCTAACACAAGATTTCGGTAAACACTGTTCCTCCATTACTCTTTTATATCTCTTCTTTATTCCTCATCACTCATCTCTGAAGACTATATATAGGTACCATTTTGTAAATTAACAAAGAAAAAAACCATTAGCCTCTTATGCCCGCGGCCCAGAATAAACGTCAAGGATCTCAACCCTAAGGCGATGCAGCACTGAACATATAGTAGCAGCGGGTCCATGCAAAGCGAGGGGAAACAGGTTTTGCCCTGGACCAGGGATCCCGAAGCTCTATCATCCTCTAAGCAGCGGGCATGGGGCATTTACGAGGCTCAGGAGAATCCAAAGGAGGGAAGAGGGTACGGGGAGGAGAAAGGTAGGGAAAGGGTTTGTCTCTAGGGATGCTTACATATTCCCTCTGCTCCCACCCTCCACCCCAAACCCTAGAGAAGATAAGCTGCTACAAAATCTTCCTCACTACACCAAGCCCCGCTTTCTCCCCCGCCCCCGACAATGGACACAGGGGACCAAGAATACACCTCCAATTCCGTACATTAAAGAAAAAGGACAGTGAGGACAGAGTGAAGCGGGAGGCATCAGAAGCATTCTCAGGTAAATCAGACAAGTGGCACCGGGGCTCCCTTTCTGGCACTCCACCCCACCGCACCCCTCGCTCTCCCGGGCCAGGCCTTCCAGGGACCAGTGCTTCTCAGGTTCCACAGGAGGTTGTGGAGGAGAAAAGGAAACGGGCGAGCCGCGGTACTGGAGAGACGAAGTTACCTTGAAGCTTCTGAGGAAGAATCCGAAGATGATCTGTGCTTTCGAAGGGCGGGAGCCGGCGAAGGGGGCCGCAGCGGGGGCGGGCGGCGCGACCTGGACGTGCAGGGGGAGGTCAGGGCAGCGGCAGGGAGTCCGGGGCGACGGCTGTCCGGCGCGGCGTCCCTCCGGTTCCGCGGCGGCGGCGCCTCTAGGCCTCACGGCCGGACCTGAATCTCAGCTCTCCAGCGGCAGCGGCGGCGGCCTCACGATCCTCCCCCGCGGACCCGTCCCATCAAATCGGCACCGACCCCGTTGCGGCTCCGCCGGTGGCTCCTCGCTCACATTCCCGGCGGGCGGCGCCTCTGCTCGTTGCCTCGGACCCGGCGGCGGCGGCGACGACGTGGGGAGGGGGGAAGGGAGGGAAGAAGACTGGCTCCGCAGCAGGAGGAGGAGGAAGGCGAAGGAGGAGGAGCCGCTGGAGCTTGAGCCGCCGCTGCCAGAGCCGCCGTTTGGTACCCGCGGTAGGTCCCCGTCAATGTCCCTTTCTCTCTCCTATTGTCAATATCACCGGGCGGCTGAGTCCATGGCACACACGCAACCGAACTTTCTGGCCTGCAGTGCCCGCCTGCGGCGCCCGTCCATTGGGGGCTTCAAAAGGGAAGCGAGGCCTTATTGGGCGGTATGCCCCTTCACTCCCATGCCAGCATGTTCGGTTGAGAACTGAACCGGGATTGGCGGCGGGGGGAGGGAGGCGGAGTGTCGGGAAGGTGGGAAGAGAGGAAGGCGAGGATTGGGCCGAGGCTTGAGGGACCCGGATGAAGCCGCGATCTCCGGCTGCGCTACGGCTGCTTCCGCCAGGCGCTTGGGTAGGGTGAAGTAGGGAGTCGTAGCAACTGCTAGGCCTGAGAGGATCTCCTTAAACCAGTGGGACAGGTTTCCGCGCAGTGCGGAGTCTTTGGGCATCTGTCATCTACAGCCAGAGGATTCCGTGGGCAAGGATCGGCTAAGGGTGGAGGAGCCCCTTAGGCCTTGATTCCGCCCCCTTCACTGCCGGGCGTGACCCTTCTGGGTTTACGGGAACCACTCTCGATGGGACCCAGCACTGCGAAGAAAGAAACAAGATTCCCCCTCCCACGTCTCTGCGACCGTGTTTTTTTTGCTGCAGCCTGCTGCGAAACCCCCAGAAGTTGCTCACCGCTGAATCTTGTAGGAGGCCGGACACCGAAATCTGAACCCTTGTGCCCTAGCCAAGGCTTGAGTAACAACCGCACCTACCTTCCCCTAAACCTCTATTTTGGGTATCCCTGAAGCTCCTGCAAAGCTGGATGAGGTCAGCGCTCGTATAGCTATGCAAGTGGAACGCTGTCGCCACGCTCAGTAATTATTTATTCATATCAACCGGAAGAGACCCAACTCCTGACTAGAAACTTGCAGGATTTTAATTGGCAACGTGTATTCGAAAGAGTTTATGAAGAAGCTGAGCTATAAACAAATGATAAAATAGGTGTTTGTATCCTTGGTGAGCCCTGGACCAAATAGTGTTTTTCCAGAGAATGCTCTTGAGCTGTTACTTATTTGAATACACGCTACATACGTTTTTTAAGAGAAACAGGAAGAAATGCTAACCACAAACATTAGAGTACCAGTTGTTCAAAACTTAGAAAATGAAAAAAGAAAAAAGCACTCATAATATGTCAACCCAGGCATAACTACTGTTAATATTTTAAGTATGCGTCCACAATTTTTTCTTTTTATATTAATATATTGTATGTGTGAGTGTGTCTTTCTGTAGCCCAGTTTTTTTTTAATCTCAGCGTTAGATGTTTTCTATATAATTAGGTGATATGTTATTTGCCGTGGAGTCTGACTCACAACGACCCCTCCTTGGGTTTCCGAGGCGTATCACTAGGAAGTAGATTGCCCAACCTTCCTTCTGGGGAGTGGCTGGTGGGATTGAACCGCCAGCCTTTTGGTTAGCAGTCAAGTGTCAGGCACTATGCTACCAGAGCTCCTATAATTAGGTGATAGAACTATATACAAATTAGGCATCATATGTACACCTGACAACAAATGCATTGTGTTTTTCTTGTTTGTGTCACTCAAGTGTTGCAAATTTCTGTGTACACTCCCAGATAAGGCTCTTGAGTAGAAAGATAATTTTGTGCCAGGAAAGAAAAATATTCCAGCCCTGAACTAAAATAGGAAACAAGGAAAGATGGCTCTCTTAGAGGGAAGTAGGTTTCCCTTACTGATTCCAAATGATTGGCCACTGTATGAACAGTGCCTGTTTTTCTCTGATAAAGTTCATCACCTCAAAAACAAACCAAACCAGTTGCTGTCCAGTTAACTCCAACTCATGGTGACCCCTTGTGTGTCAGAGCTGTGCTCCACAGGGTTTTCAGTGGCTGACTTTTTAGAAGTAGTTCACCAGCCCTTTCTCCCAAGGCACCTCTGGGTGAACTCCAACCTCCAACCTTTTTTTTGGGGGGGGGGGTGCTGTCTGTGTGTGTGTGTGTGTGTGATTTGGGTGAAAGTTTACAGAGCAAATTCATTTTCCATACAGCAGTTCATACACATTTTGTTTCATAACACTGACTGCAATTCCCCACAATATAACAGCTCTCTTCCCTCTTCCTCCTTGTAGTCTTCGCTTTGTCCTTCTTTCCTATGCATTCCTGCCTCCTGAGCTATATTTCTGTATAAATACTGCCCTCTTGTTCTCCTATGATTAATCATTCTAAGGAATGTATCTACTTGATGTAAATGTTCACCCTATATGCCTGTCTGTTGTTTGGCTGGAAGGTTCAGGAATTGGCTCAGTTCCAGACCTAGGTAACTAGGGCTTTAGTCTCAGGGGTCTCTCCAGGAACTACCAGACCAGTAAGCTTGGTCTTTTTTATGATTTTGACTTTTGTTCCACACTCTATCCAGAATCTCCTGCATTGATCCCTTTCTAAGTGGTTGACAGTGGTAGCCGAGCACCATCTATTTCTTCTGGTCTCATGGTCATATAGGCTGAGGATCACATGGTCTACTAGTCCCTTGGACTGATTATTTCCATACATCTTTGGTTTTTTTCATTCTTCTTTGCTTTGAACAGGGAGAGACCAATTGCTGCATCTAGATGGCTGCGTGCAAGCTTTTAAGACCCCAGTCACTACTCGCCAAAGTAGGATGTAGAACAATGTTTTTGTGCAGTATGTTATGCCAGTTGAGCTTGATGTCCCCTGTGACCATGGTCCTGAGCCCACAGGTCCAACTACTTGCTCCCTCAGCATGGTTGGCTGTGGCCAAGAAGTTACCATAACTTTGCCCCTTGTTAGCTCTATCATATATTGGATATTCTTACAGTACATGCAAATACATACATAGAAATATTGTCTGGCAACCTTATATATAGGAGCTCTGGTAGCATAGTGGCTAAAGCACTTGACTGCTAACCAGAAGGCTGGCGGTTCAAACCCACCAGCCACTCCTCGGAAGGAAGGTTGGGCAATCCTACTTCCGTCGTGATACTGCCTCGGAAACCCAAGGAGAGGTCGCTATGAGTCGGGGCCGACTCGATGGCACACAACAACAACAACCTTATATATGGCCATGGATATATTCCCGTTTGCCTAAACATGCCTGATCATTCAGCCTATCTAACCTCCAACTTTTTGAATAGCTGCTGAACATATTAACCATTTGTACCACCAGCAACTCTTCATCACCATAAGGTCCTATAAAACTGTAGAGGAAACCACCCATCTAGTTCCTACCCTCAAGAAACTTCTATTTCCACATCTCAATTTCCATCCTTCATGAAAGTAAAGTGTCCCAGCCAAGCAGAAACATATTTACTCACTCTTGGATTAAGGGTAAATGCAGAATTCAAACCAAGGAAGATTTTGAAGCCAACTCAATTTCCCTTGGCAACAACTGAGTCATTAAAGAGTAGTGCACATTGGAAATGCTCACAGCTGTTGCTTAGAACATTTCACATTTAGTAGAGTGGGGACTTTGCTTGCAAATTATAGATCTCTATAAGGACAATTCATTTCAAAATCATTTTATTTTCTATAAAATGGCTGAATAACTGAAACCAAAACTAAACCCACTACCATTGAATCAATTCTGACTCATAGCAACTCTATAGAACTGGCCCATAGGCTTTCCAAGACTGTAAATCTTTAAAGAAACAGACTTCTAACATCTTTCTCCCAGAGCAGTTGGTGAGTTCAAACTGCTGACCTTTAAGATAGCAGCCAAGCGCTTTACCACTGTGCCACAAAGTCTCCTCTGAAATAAGCAGGTCTTTATAAGTGGAAACATCCTTGTCTATTCAAGAAATTTTGTGTAGACCAATGGTCTCTAAAGGGAATCTAGGCATCCCACAGGGGTGTGCACTCCAGACATTGTGCAGGGCAATCCATGTGGGATGCAGGTGAAGAAAATATGAAGACAGCTATTTATGCATAATTCTATATTAAAAGGAATGACATTAAGCTTGACTAATAATTTACAGACAGAACAAGCTGCTCTGTGCTCAGTTCACGGGTCCGTGGTCAATTGGCCTGCAGTGGCATAGGAGGTGTCTTCCAAGAAAACTGCAAGTTACCAGTGCCCCAGGGTTGGCAGTTGTGGTCCCAGCCAGTCAGTCTCTGTCAATATGTTGTGACTTACTGCAGTTTGCTGCGTTCGGTTAAGTGGATTGACTGATATATTATCTAATTAACCTCCTAACCATAAAAAATAGACAAGTGACTTTACAAGAGTGTTTTGCAAAGAAACCAGAGGAGAAAAAAATAAATGGCAGAATTGACACTTTACCTAGTAAGATCTTCAACAGCCACGTTTCAAAACTAAAACAACAGTCTAAGGAAACCAATGCAAATTTGACTAAAACTATCAAAATCATCAAGAATATAGTGGGAAATGTGGATTTATGTTCCTGGGGAAGGCTATCATGCTTGGGAAAGTAGGGGAAGCCCCTCAGTGAGCTGGAGTGACACAGTGGTTGTAACGATGGGCTCAACCGTGGCAACAATTGTGAGGGTGGCACAGGACTGGCCGTGTTTTGCTCTGTTGTATATAGGGTCACTAGGAGTCAGAACCAACTCGACAACACCTAACCACAACAACAACATCATTAACAATAACGAGCCCTGGTGGCACAGTGTTTAAAGCACTCAGCTGCAGATCACAAGGTTGGCAGTTGGGACCCACTGGCCTCTCCATGGGAGAAAGATGTAGCAGTTTGCATCCATAAAGATTTACAGCCATGGAAACCCTCTGGGCAGTTCTATTCTGTCCTGTAAGGTCACTATGAGTCAGAGTTGGAGTCAACTTGACAGCAGCAGGTTTGGTTTGGTTTTTTTGGTATCATTAACAATGAACTTCATCCTGATGGTATATTGTGATTGAATTATTAGCTAATTATGGAAGAATATGTATTTACTTTTTAAATACATATGTTTAGAAGAATAAGCTCAAAAAAATCATACTGGTAGGGATGTGTCACCCAAAAAGTTTGGAAACTGATACTCTGGATCATACAAAAAGAAATACATTATAGCCATCTGGGAGGTCATTATCAAG